TTGCAGCTGCAGGATTACACCTCAGGTGTGTATGCCAGGCCTGAGCTGTGCCTGGAGGGGGCAAGGTGAAGTAGGCGGAAGAGGAAGCTCTCTGCACACACTCATGTTACCTGGGCTAGGACTGGGTCTGGGGGCTCCCGGAACTCGGCAGAAAGTGCTACTTGGCAGGCGGGTGGGGGAGGTACTGCAGAGTGGTGGGGGGCGGCCCACTCTGCACCTGGGCTGGGACTGGTCCCGCTGGCGCAGGGTAGCAGGAAGCTCTCCGCACACTCACCGGACCTGGGCTAAGACTCTCTTTCATTCTTTGGATACATAGGACCTGTTTTTTCATTGATATACAATTCTTTCTCTGTAGTGCTAATGTTCCAAAATTAGTATTCGATTTTGGAGGATAAATTAGAGCAATAATAATCATCTCACATCTTGAAAGACTGAATGATCCTTGTCTTTTAAGTCTAATTTGACAAATATTGAGAACTCTAGAGAGAACTGCAGATGCCTTGTTAGATGCTGTAGAAGGTTGTCATAATTTATTTTAGTCAGTTAAGTTTTCTGCATAAGTAGACAGCACAACTCTGAACCAGAAATTCTGTTCTCATGAATTTCAGGTGACACATTAACTTAATGATGATTTAAAGAATTAGTTGGCAGTGCTGCGGAGATAGCTCAGTGGTCTAAATGACTGCCTGGTAAGCACAAGGACCTGCGTTTGATCCCTGGTATCACATGCTGTGCTGGCCCTGGGCCCTGGGTGCTGAGCCAGCCACCAAAATGGGGCATGGTGGCGCATGCCTATAATCCCAGTGCTGGGGAGGCGGAGACAGGAGGGTCACTATGAATCTGAGCTGCATAGCGAGACCCTGTACCAAATAAATAAATAAATAAATAAATGATTTATTAAAAAATCAATTAAAATAAACGTTGATTTACTTAAATAGGTTTTCAAGAGTTTCATCATCCCTTTCTATCAGATTAGGACATTTTATTATCCAGAAATGTAGGCTATGAACTTCTACAATGCCAGAATTTAAGTATTTCTATTTCCTGTCATTGAGTGATATCAGTAGAAAGTAGAAATATTTTCATTAATTTTTTAACTTCTATTTTTATAATAGTTTTAGTTCTAAAATTAAAAGGAAATTACAAGACTTTCTTTTATTTTTACAGCGTTTTGAACTCCAGGATTCAGGAAGCTCTATGCTTCCTAAAGAGATTGTAAGAGTGCAGAGAGTGACTGAAAACCATGCCTCTGAAGCTCATGTGACTCTCCAAGTTGCTGGAAAAGAGGTGACCATTAAGGTAATGAACCACAGATTTTTCATTCAAACATATATCTTATTCTGACCATTTTTATGGCCTAAGATGGGTGAATGATCCCCTTATAAGCATTTTTGGACT